ACGGCTCATTTCTTGCTAGGTGTGGCATCTTTGAGGTTGTTGGACTCCAGGAACATTTGAAATCTGTCCATATACGAGTCCCAGTCTTCTCTAGCTGGATCGAATGGGGCGGGTGGTATAGCGCTGCTGGCCATGTCGCCATTGTTGTGCTCTGTCAGCCATGTGCTCCTTCAGCTAGTTCAAATCAACAGAGTTCGTTGCCTCTGCATCCCATCCTCGTCGCCAGTGTTGGATCTGGGAGGATGGTTCAAGAACGGAGGCAAGACTCAGATAGCAACAACAGCTCTTTATTAGTGACTTCAGATCTGAGCAACTAATCCCAGCCACAGCAGCCCCTTATATAGGGCTGGCTGCGGCTAGGCAGCCAATGAAGGCGATTTGAGTTTGCCGCTCTTGGCAGGGCCAATCGCGGCAGCCCGTTTACTGGCTAATCGCATCAGTCTATGGCGACCAATCACGATCGGCTATCAGCGGGCCAATCAGAGTTGCAGGCTTTCGAGCCTGCTAGTCCGGAACACTTGTTTCACTTACAGTACAGTTTTCCTATTAGTATTTTGTTATGTATTCAAGGGGAAAATAAGAACAAAGCATGTCTGTCATCATTTCTCTAAGGACTGGAACATTATTTGAAAAACATATGTCTAAGATCTGTGCAACAAATATATAGTGGAACCTCGGGTCACAAATCCTCCTGTTTGTGACCAAACTGGGTGATGACCAAAACTTTGGGAAAATTGTTGCTTGTCGACACGAACAGATCCTTGGTGCTGACTAGTACAGCCTTGGTGATTTTTCCTGCACATGCACAGAATTGTAGGCCATGTGCAGTCAGTCTCACTTCTATTCGCAACCACATTGGATTGCAACTGAAATCCTGGAATGGATTACAGTCATAATCTGAAGTTCCACTGTATCTAGGTGAATACATTCAGTGGCTTTTTTATCCCAAGTAATATGCAAATCAGGGCATAATTTCCCCTTTAAAGGAACTGCTTGATTTCCATTTTCAGGATATACCCACCAGTTCTTTCCCAATTTCTCTACTACCAGTTACACTCTGTTCAATAGAGGGAGCAGAAATGATCCTGTGGCTAAATCTGGCATCCTTATTATCTTGCCTCAGAGGTAATTCTATCCTCTATACTCAGCTTTTTCCATTTTAATGCTTGTATAAAGGAGTGTTCTTTCTGTCTCTCCTGCCAAGGTTCTGGATACAACTTTGGTGATTACAGCATGGACTCGGTGAGACAGGCTCCTGGGAAAGGCCTAGAATGGGTGGCCTACATAAATTACCCTTCCAGTACTATTTACTATTCAGACAAAGTGAAGGGCCACTTCACCACCTCCAGGGACTATGCCAAAAGCCAGCTGTATCTGCAAATGAACAGCCTCAAACCAGAGGACACAGCAGTCTATTACTGTGCAAGAGACACAGTGAGAGGAAGTGAGTCTGAAGGCAGGCAAGAACCTTCCCTCCCTCAGAGCAGATCTCCAAGTGGATTCAGTCACAAAAAGTTGAACTTGAGTCTTTGAACTGAGGGGCAGGTGGTCACTTTACATTATAGCAGTAGAAATCCATGGATCATTACAGTATCTGGGCAACCCATCCATCTTTCCTAAACAGGTTCTGGAAAAAACCAACATGAGCTGTGTGAGACAGGCTCCTGGGAAAGGACTGGAATGGGTGGCATTTGTTTCCTCTAGTTACAATAATACTCACTACTCAGAGAAAGTGAAGCAATGCTGCTCCTTCTCCAGGGACAATGCCAAACAGCCAGCTGTATCTGCAAATAAACATCCTGATCATAGTTATCTACCTTATCATGGGAATCTACCACTACATTAGACACACAGTGAGAGGAAGTGAATCTCAAGCCAGCCAAGAACCTTTTCTTCCTCAGAGCAAATCTCCAAGTGAATTCAGTCACAGAAAGGTGAAGCAGAGCCTTTGAATTGGGGAGTAATTGATAAATCCACATCATAGCATCCCTTATATTCCATTTACTTGTTTCATGTATGTTGGTTGATCAACAAAGTAAAAGGTTATTGGTGTTGCATCTTTGACTTTAGGCAGTTATAGTATTAAAGCTTGTTTGTTATGGGATTGTTTCTCCACAATCCAGAAGCCAAAGCTGGAGAGCTACCCATCTGAAATAGTATAGGGTCTCCTGCTTCAGGAGGGGGTTGGACTAGAACAGGGGTGTCCAATCTTTTGGATCTCAGGAACCACCAAATTTATAATTTCAAATCCCATGGACCACTAATATGAATTTTGACTGATGGTGTCTTGTTGACATTGGTGGGAAAGTCAGTCCCATATTCCAGATCTTTAGTAGTCACAGGATTAGCCGGTGCACCAGCCAGCCATGGATGAGCTGCTCTGGAATGGCCAAAATACCAGTCTTGTGACTACTGCAACTCTGGAATGTGGGACCGGCCCATGGTGGGGTTGGAAATCTCCGCCATAGTGGGTGGCACGTATAATGTGCAAATTTGCAGGTGGTGCAACATGCAAAAAGCAGTGCAGCCTTCACCAGCCAGGATGAGATAATGGTGTTGTTGAGGTAATGGTGGCACAGGTGAGCTGAACTGGCAATGGAGATGGCTGGAAGATGCAAGAGAGCCATGCTACTGGCATTTGCATGGCACTTCCACACGTTCTAGCTCACCTCTCCTAATTTGGGCTGTAGGGGCAGCCTGGGACTGGAAAAGTACTTCTTGTTGTTGGTGGGAGGGGGCAGAGTGGGCAAGTCTGCACTAACCATCCAGTTCAGAGGTCCAGAATGTGGTGGCATCAGCAGCATCTCGGTGCTCTGCTCTACCGCCCCTCCCCCCACAATGGCCCCAGCCATTGCTGCCCAGGGAAGGCACAGGAAAAGCAAGCATCAACATAGCTCTCACTGGGGAGAAAAAGCTGAGATTGAGGAAGCATATGAAACAGAAGATACAAGCTGTCACCTTTGAAAATGCTGCTTTCTGTTGCCTGTGCCTTCCCCGATCTCTGCTCTTTCACCCAAGCAAGAGCTATGTTTCTGCTAACTTTCTTCTCATGTGCCTTCCCCAGGCAGTGATGGCTGGGGCCATGTGGGTGGGGCAGCAGAGACACCAGGGCTGCTCCTCGCACTCAGCAAACCAGGCCTAGAGAAGTGCAGAGAATTGTGGATGAGTGCCGGAGGGTCAGAAGATACATTCCAATGTCTCTCGTGAAGTCCCCTTGTGTGGAGGCTCCTAATAACCAACAGAAACAGGCTGGTTATTAGGAGCTCATCTTCCTTGGTGCTCTTTTGGTTTGAGCATCCGACCTTCATTGCTGGATTGTTGTGGGACCACCAGAAACTTCTGGTCAGGTTGAGCTGAGCACCTTGGAAGCCCCATAGTTTGCCTTGTCACTATTGTGCAGGTGAGAGCTTGAGCTTTTCTGGGTTTGACCCCCCCCCCCCCCATCCCTTTAGCCTCCACACAAGAGGACTCACTGAGAGATGTTGGAGTATCTTCTGACTCTCCGATGCTCACCCGCAACTCTATACCCTCCTCCAGGCACAGCTTGCTGAGTGGGGGGAGCAGTCCTGATATCTCTGCTGCTCCCCACCTCAGCCCCAGCTATCACTGCCCAGGGAAGGCACAGGAAAAGAAAGTGAGCAAAAACATAGCTCTCGCTGGGACAAAAGAGCGGAGATCGGGGAAAGCACAGGCAATAGAAAGTGGCACTTTTCATCCTGGCCAGCAAGGGCTGTGCTGCTTTTTGGAGGTTTGTACTTGGCTGAAGGGTGGGGGCCAGCAGGTAGGTGGGCCATGTGGGTGGCACAGACTTGTGTTCCTACAGAGCCTGGATTAATTGCTGGGGGTGTGTGTGCTTTGTGGGGACATTTCTCTGCAGGCCACCAACATTTTCTCATGGACCACCAGTGGGCCGCAGCTCACCAGTTGGCAACCATTAGACTGGAAGAGCTCCAAGGCCTCTTCCAGCTCCATTGTGATTGGATACTGAATAAAATCAGTCATTCTCCTATCTTCTTGAGGTCCTTCAAATGACCATAATTTTGGTGGAGTTCATCAGCACCTAAAGTACAGTCATTTGACTATGTGGAGGCTCCAATTCAGAACTTCAAACCTGGTTTATAGGTAGCTTTCAGTTTGAGTGGAGGAACTTCAAACAGTTGCTATTACACTGATTGTATATTCAGGACTGGCTGTATATTAAGACCAAGGACAAATTAAGGGCAACTCTATTGCCCATTATTGAGAATTCTCAAAAAAAGTCTTTAAGAAACCTTAAAACCTGTAAGTTTTATCTCTTTTAGGTTGTATATAATTTGGTCTACCTAAATCATCTGTCTAGTTGATTCTACATAGCAGTACATTTACAGATATGGCTGGCTATTGGAATTATCCCTGGAGATGATGAAACATCCCTTCTCTTTATATAATTAATAAAACAAGTCATGCTTATGTTAAAAAAAAATCCTGAATTTGTAAACCCAGTTGCAGCATTTTTATTTATGTCAAAGTTCTCACCCTCCAAGTAAAATGTACTCAATTAGCATTTTTCCACATGGCTTGAAAAGTACAATTTGTTTATTTATTTTGGGGGGTGGAGTTCCTTTGCATTGTTTTAGCAAGTTAACCAAATATCCCTTTCATTCTGCATAAAGATTCATCTGCTTGTCCCTTTGATACTCTAGCCACTTGCTAGCCATCACTCAAATATCTCTTCAACAGACGTCCAAGGAACTGAGAAGACGAAGAAAAGAGTGAGAAGGCCTTTTATTTTGAGGGCTATGAAAATTGCATGACAACCTCCACTTTTGTCCCCAGGTTGTAAGGAGAAGAATAAAAGGTGGCTGTGTTTCCATACAAGTGAACAAAATGTCATTTTGTCTCTATTTGACATTTTTAATTGCAGCTCTTGGAGGTAAATGTTCTTATTCATACACCACATTCTTCCATTCCTCTCTTTTTATATGTAGGAAATGTTGGAAATTATTCTTTTTTTTTCCCAAGTGTCCAATCTGAGGCCCAGTTGGTGGAGTCTGGAGGGGATGTGAGAAGACCTGAGGAATCCCTCCATCTCTCCTGCCAAATCTCTGGATTGAACTACAGCAGTTATAACATGGGCTGGGTGAAACAGGCTCTAGGGAAAGGACTGGAATGGGTGGCATGGATACATGATATTGGAGGACTAACTGACTACTCAGACAATGTGAAGGGACTCTTCATCCTCTCCAGGAACAATGCCAAAAGCCAGCTGTATCTGATGAACATCCTCAGAGCAGAGGACATGGTGGTCTATTACTGTGCAAGAGACACAGTGAGAAGAAGTGAATCTGAAAACAGACAAGAACCTTCTCTAACTCAGAGCAGATCTCATAGTGGATTCAGTTGCCGAAGATTGACATTGAATCTTTGTACCAAGGAGCAGGTGATCAATCTGCATCATAGCAGTAGAATACTCCATGGACCAGAAGAATATTTTAAGAGTTAACAAAACAACAACAACAACCCTGAGACGCACTTAAATTAGAGAAAATAGAAGCCCAAAGAGATATTCTCTTCTTGAATTGAAGGTGAAGGGAACCTCTGAGTTTACAGTTACAAGGAATCAAAAATGGTTCATAGAGCACATAATACTGAGTTGTGAGTTAGGTATGACAGTCAACAGGGAATAAATGGATTGTATGGTTTATTTATTTATTATTTATTTAATTTAAATTGCTACCTATTTGCCCATGGAAATTCTAAACAAGTCTATGGTGAATCCATGAAATGCTGCTTTGCCATCTCCAGAATCTGCCTTCTGCATTTGCAAAATGACATCAGAAGGAGGCGCAAAATAAATATCTTTGACCATGACTGAAATTAGTGAAAATTGTAGCCCAAAGTATTTCTTGAATTGAAGGTGAAGGAAACCATTGCATTTACAGTTAGAAGGAATTAGTAATGGTTCATAGAGCTCACAAAATCGAGTTGCGAGTCATGGTCCTTGAGAATTTAATTCCCCAAAACTTCTCAAAACTTCTTCAAAGTCAAGTTTCAATGTGTATAGCAAAAAAGCAAACAAAAAATCCCTTATATCCACCCCACTTACATATTTCATGTAGACTGGTTGATGAACCAAATAAAAGATTATTTGTGATATCTACCATTGAAGCTTTTTCTTATCCAATAATATATAAAAAGGAACAAATAGATATGGTGAAATATTTAATGAAAACTTAAATCTATGCAAGCGTTGGAAGAACAAGGTGCAAAAATGAACTGGTTTTCATATTTGCAAATACAATCTAGATTTGATAAAGATTCTAAAACAGAAGTTATTTATGATAAGTTGACTGATTTAGACAAAATTTTGGTGGGTACTGATGAAAAGGTAATTTAAAAACTTTATGGACATTTATTAGAATTTAAACTGGAGGAGGAACAAGTTAAAGAAACGATGATTTCTTGGGGGAAAATATTTGGATATGGGATTGACTTAGAAAAGTGGCAAAAATTGTGGTCTCAAAACTATAAAATGACAATGTCAACTGCATATAAAGAAAATTTGCATAAGATGTTTTACAGTGGGCATCTACCCCCGACAAGACTTGCGAGAATGTTTAAGAATAAATCAGATTAATGTTGGAAATGTCATCAGATACCTGGTTCATATTACCACATGTGGTGGACATGCTCGGATGCAAATAAATATTGGACTGAAATCCACACGTGGTTGGAAAAAATGATAAAACAACATATAGACTTTAAACCAGAGTTCTTTTTATTGGGAATCATACTGGAAATATACAACAAAGAGCTGAAATATTTGATTGTAAATGTTTTAACAGCGGCTAGAATTGTATTTGCTAAGAATTGGAAAAATGATAAAATGCCTAGGCAGGAGGAAGTTATTAAGAAAATTATGGACTGTGCTGAAATGAGTAAAATGACATTTGAAATCAGAGAACAAGATAAAAATTTTATATGATATGGGATTTGTTTTATCAAAAAGACATGGTAATGTAACAGAATAGATAATTTTGTTATAGAAGTTTAATAGATTGATATAAAATATAATGTAGACAAATATAACCATTGGATGAAAGCACAATATAAATTTTAAAATAAAATTTGGGATAACTCATATAAAATGATGGAATAAATAGTTTAGTCATGGATGATTAATAATTGATAAATATATAAGCATATGTTAGTTTGACAATGTGAAATTTATATAAACTGTGAGTAATGACTATGAAAGGATTGCGCAAAAGATTCGTAACCAACTGACACACTGTATGTATATAAAATGGAAGATTGTTTTATGTTTCTATGTATTGTTTGTATATGTTTGTCTTAAAAAATAAAAACTTTTTAAAAAAAGGTTATTTGTGTTGCTCAGGTAGGAAACCCTATACACTTTCAGAGAAATGGTTGTCCAGTCTTTACTTGAAAATGTCTACAGATGGAGCACCCACAACTTCTAGAGACAAGCTGATTAACTGTTCTCACTATCAGGAAATTTCTCCTTAGTTCCAGGTTGGATCTCTCCTTTATTAGTTTCCATCCATTGCTTCTTTTCCTGCCTTCAACCTCTTTTATTGAGATTAATTAATGTTTTGACTGATATAAAATCTGTGGTTTCAGCTGTGAGCTTGACTGCTTCTCCAGCTTCTTACTGTGGAATTAAAATAGTTTGTTGAAGGAAAAAAATAATAATGGCCCTTTGAGAATTTCACTCCCCAAAAGTTGTCAAAACTTCTTCAATGCCAAGCTTCAATATGTATAGCAAACAAAAACAAACAAAAAATCCCTTATATCCCATTTACTTATTTCATGTATGCTGGTTGATGAACAAAATATAAGGTTATTTGTGTTGCATCTTTGACTTCAGGTAGTTATAGTACTAAATCCAGAATTATACAATATGTACACCTCTGAGTTATACCCCTGTAATTGAGTTCAAATCAAATAAAAATAAAATAAATAAAAAGTTGCCCAGGCTCCTGTCTCTGAAAGTGAAATTAAACTTGCTATCTGTTAGCCTTCAAGGTTTTCTTCCTTTGCTTTGCATCTTTCACCCGTTATAAGTAATGAGGGGGCAGGAGGAGAGATATGGTTATGGGAAGTGAGCTGGAGGTGTTATAAAACAGAACTGTATAAGTTTGGGGGGAAAGGTTCTTCCTTAGGCTTCTATCCTCTGCTATGCGCAGCCACAACTCTTTATCAAAATATGTCAAGATCAATGGACAGAGGCCTCATCACCACCTGGAGTTGCCCACATGATGATATACACAACTTTCTCAGATTCAGAATAATGTCAGCTGGTGCTCCATTCAAAATCCAAGAAAAAAATACTTAGACTCCATTAATTAGAGAAAAGATATCTTTTACTGAAAATCAAGTGGTAGCAACAAAAGAATTCTGAACCTGAGAAAATGAGTGTGTAAATTACATATACAAAGTGATGGCAACGTTCCCACCCCCAATAGTTCAATTGGCTCATCCAATTAAAAATTGTGTATATCATCATGTGGGCATCTCCAGGTGGTGATGAGGCCTCTGTCTGCTGACCTTGACATATTTTGATAAAGAAGCTTCAGTCCAAAAAAAATCACTTTGGCGGAAAAAAAAATCTGCTCACGTTGCCAACTTCAAAAGCAGATACAAAAATTTATGTCACCAGATAAAAACCGAATGCACCAATTATCACATTAAACAAGAAGAAAACCTTCTACACACCAATTCCACCTGCGCTTTCTACAATTTTATAAACAACAAACTAAAAGACTCAAGGTCCATCCCATCCCTGAAAGGACCTAATGGTAAAGACTACAACGACAACCCTATTAAAGCAAACCTCTTTAACACATTCTTTGGCTCAGTATTTGTAAACAGCAATGGATCATGCCCAGTATTTCCTAGTTAAACCACAGACAACTACAATGATTTAATACATATCAATTTTACAAAAGACATTGTTGAAAAAGCACTACGCAATCTAAAACCATCTCTATATATTGGACCAGATGGAATATGTGCCTACTTCTTAAAAAAGCTACCCACTGCCATAACCGAACCTCTAAGCATAATCTTTGAAAAATCTTTCAGGACCAGCTCCTTGCCAAAACAATGGTCACAAGCCATGATCATCCTCAACTTCAAAATAGGAGACCCCAGCCTAGTTGAAAATTACAGACCAATCTCTTTATGATGGCAACAACAATAAAGTCATGGAATCAATTATTAACCAATCCATCATCCTCCACTTAGAGACAAACAACCTACTCTCTAATAAACAATTTAGTTTTAGGAAAAAACTATCCTCACCTGTAATCTGTAAGTCTTACACTGCAAAAACATATGGACTACACAACTCAATCAGGGCAAAGCAATAGATGCAATCTACATAGACTTCTGTAAAGCCTTTGATTCAATTGTACACAACAAACTACTCCTAAAACTAAAATCTTATGGTATCTCTGGACACCTGGGTAACTGGATAGAAGCATTCCTGTCAAACAGACAACAAATGGTCAAAATTGGGAGCGTCCTATCAAATTCTGTACCTGTCAACAGTGGTGTCCCCCAAGGCAGTGTTCTAGGACCAACTCTTTCCATACTCTACATAAATGACCTCTTTGATCATATCAAGAGCAACTGCATTCTCTTCGCTGATGATGTAAAGCTATTCAACACCGCAGACAATACTGCTACCCTTCAAAAAGACTTTGACTACATATCAGTATGATCAAACACCTGGCAACTTCAAATCTCAACAAATAAATGCTCTGTTCTACATATTGGCAAAAAAAATCAGAAAATAAAATACAGACTGAATAGTCAAGACCTTGTTGATGATCCAAACTCTGTCAAGGATTTTGGAGTAAATGCTAGAGCCTACTGTAACTACACAGTCAAAAAGGCGTTAAGAGTTGTTAACCTAATCTTATCTAGCTTTTTCTCTGGTAATATTATACTAATAACTAGAGCATACAAAACATTTACTAGACCTATATTTGAATACAGCTCATCAGTTGAAACCCATATCATGTATCTGATATTAACACAATTGAAAAGTCCAGAAATATTTCACAAGAAGAGTTCTCCGCTCCTCTACTCATTGCAGAATACCTTATGCCACCAGAGTTGAAACTCTAAGCATAGAAAACCTATGCCTCCTTCGGTCCGATCTAAATATAGTATATAAAATAATACATTGCAATGTCCTACCTGAAAATAAACACTTCAGCTTCAATCATAACAATACAAGAGCACACAATAGATACAAACTCAAGGTTAACCACACAAAACTTGATTGCAGGAAATACGACTTCAGCAACAGAGTGGTCAATGTTTGGAATACTCTACCTGACCCTGTGGTTTCTTCCCCAAACCCCAAAAACTTTAACATTAGACTGTCTACTATTGACCTCACCCCTTTCCTAAGAGGCCTGTAGGGGGCATGCATAAGCGCACCAATCGTGCCTACCGTCCCCGTCCTTTTGTTTCTTTTTCTTTCCAAAATTATATGCTATCAGTTCCCTTCCATTCATTAGAAATGACCCTGGGGTTAATCATGGTGTCCTTACTAGCTGTGCTCAGAGGTAATTCTTTCCTTGATATTCAACTTTTTCCATTTTAATTTTTGTATACAGGAATGTTCACCCAAACAACTTTCATTTTAGGTGTCCAATCTGAGGCCCAGTTGGAAGGGTCTGGAGGGGGTGTGAGAAGACCTGGAGAGTCTCTCCATCTCTCCTGCCAAGCTTATGGGTTCACCTTTAGCAGCTGTGTAATGAATTAGGCAACACAGTTGGAGCATCCACAACTTCTGCAAGCAAGTCTTTCCATTGATTAATTGTTCTGTCAGGAAATTTATCCTTAGTTCAAGGTTGGATCTCTCCTTGATAATTATTCATCCATTACTTCTTTTCTTGCCTTCAGCCTCTTCTACTGAGAGTGATTTATATTTTGAATCCATAGTAGATATCCCTCATTTGTTCAAATGACTTTCCACTTCTCCCCCCTTTTCACATGTCCCCTGGGAATTTAATAATGAAACTGGAACAGAAAATAAATTTCAACTTAGTAAAGTTATTTGCATTCATTTCACATCTTAATTCAGTCAGATACAGCAGAATAAACCTATAGAAATAAATAGGATGCCCTGAATTTAAAAGAAAGGAAGTTAGCTCTCCATGCAGAAAAGTATAGCAGAATTACTTTCATTTTCTCCATTGGTGACATGGAGAAGCCACTGATATTGAAGTAGTTGAAGGATACTTATCATTTATGGCCCAAGTTTTGTTTTTTCCTAAAACATATGAACAACTATTTACTCCCAGGAAAACAAGAACAAAGCATGTCTGGCAACATTTTTCTTAGGAATTGAGCATTATTTGAAAGTTACATATTTATTTATTTTATTTATTTATTTGATTTGTCAATCATTTACAAGATACAGGTATAAGAATAAACATAGTTTTGAATACATGAGATAGATACTTATAAGAAAAATAAAAAGAAACAAAAGTATGGGGACGGTAGGCACTATTGGTGCATATATGCATGCCCCCTACAGGCCTCTTAGGAAAGGGGTGAGGTCAATAGTAGACAGTCTAAGGTTAAAGTTTTGGGGGTTTCAGGAAGAAAGCAGAACCCCTTTCATTTTCTCTTCTGGTGATCTGAAGAAGCTACAAATATTGAAGTAGTTGAATGTTACTGATTATTTTCTGTTTGTTAAAACATCTGAAGAATGGTTTACCATATACTTCCAGGAAAACAAGAACAAAGCATGTCTTGCATCCCTTTCCTTAGTACTTTTTGAGTGCTTCTCTAGCTGCTTAGAAGGGAATTAAAATAGTTTCTTAAAGGAAAAAAAACATACAGTTAAATGATTGTGGGTAAGTACCATTTTGGAACTTCAAATCTGGGTTACAGGTAGCTTTGGGTGTGTGTATGGATTAACTTCAAATAGTTGCTAAGACACTGGTCGTAAATTGAGAACTACTTGTATATTATAATCAAGGTCAAATGTATTACCTATTATTGAGAACCATTAAAAAAGAACATTTGAAGAAAGTTTTAAAATCTAGTTAATTTATACTTTTAATGTTGTCCACAATTGGGTCTACATAAATAATTAATGTCTAGTTGATTCTACTGGTATAGGCATATATTTACAGATAAGGCTGACTGTTATAATTATCCCTGGAGGTGATGAACTATCGGGTCCCTGTGTCTCCCCAGTAAAACAAATCATGCTTACAAGAGAAAGTGGGGGAAGGAGGGAGGGAGAGGGAGAGAGAGAGGGAGAGAGTTCTTTGTAAATCCACTTGTTTTTTGGGGGGTAGGAGGACAGGAAGCTTCATTTGCATTGTTTTACTATGTTGACAAAATCTCCCTTTTGTTCTGCATAAACAATCATGTTCCTGTCTCTTTGCTACTCAAGCCTTTTGCTAACCATCCCCAAACTATTTCTTCAATAGAAGCTAAGGTTATTAAAAAGAAGAAAGGAGTGAGATCATTCCTTTTATTTTGAGGAATATGTACATTGCAGGACAATTTACTCTTCAAATAGGCCAGACCACTTTTGTCCCCAGGTTGCAAGAATTCTAAATGGTGGCTGGAACTCTGAATGTTTTTCATACAATCTCCAGTCCAAGTGTATAAAAATGATATCTTGGCTCTATTTGACATTTTTAGTAGCAGTTCTCAGAGGTGAATTTTCTGTTCATGTTCTCATCGGTGCAATATAATATAATGTAATTGTTATGTCCGTGGAACTGGTGGGAGTTCCCAACCAGGTCCGCTGTTTGAGAGGGAGCACCAGCCGCTCCCATTGGTTGGCTCCGTTTGACAGTCGGCTATATAAGCCGGCTGTCGAGCAGAGCCAGCCTGTTGTCGCCTGCTAGTCTGCAAGTTAGCAAGCAGACGCGACAACCCTTTATTCCCTGCAATAAAGCCTTGTTAGTTGTACGCTCTGGTCTCATGCCTCTTCCTTACCATCGCTCCACAACACTGGCGACGAGGATGGGATGGTCAAAGGCTAACCAGACGCATCTGTTCAAAGAGCTGTAATCACTGAGAGTGAAGTCACGAGCGCTGTAGCCGCGGCCGCCAACGCTCACCAAGAGCGCGAAATTCAAAAAGAGCTACGTAGCCCAGAGAGACAGTCACAGCCTGCGCTCTTTTAAGAGCGCGATTTCAAAGACGATTGAAGAAGACGAACCCGGCACTACCCACGATGAATGCTAATCCAGCACTCCCGCCATTCAAGCCAAACGAGGAAACGTGGGACTCCTACAAGAATCGTTTCAGCCATTTCCTCGATGCCATCGGGTTAGCTGACGCTGCGGAACATAGAAAGAAGTCTTATTTCCTCAGCTATTGTGGGGCCGCCATTTTTGATACCGCTACAGCGTTAGTTGCACCACGCGCCATCAGAAGTGTCCCATGGGATGAACTACAAGAAATACTCTCCAATCACTACGCACCAAAACCATCCCAGATCGCCAGAAGGTATGCCTTCAGAATCAGGAAGCAGGCAGTGGGGGAGTCGATCAATGAATACATGGCTGCCCTGAGGACAGCTGCCTTACAGTGCGGTTTCAAAGAATATCTGGAGGACATGCTGCTGGACCAGATCGTCTGTGGGGTTAGAGACCTGAGACTCCAAAGACGTTTGCTGGCAAGAAAGGACTTGAATCTGGCCCTAGCCATGGAGGAAGCCCTGGCTGCTGAGCTCTCGGCCCAGTCAGCAGCTGAGATTCAGGGCACTCCATTAAAGCCCAGCAGTCCAACCGTCCATTCTGAAGAAGTGCTCAGTGAAGAAGACCCCACAGACTCATCACACATTAACCGCCTTAAGCATCAGAAGCCTTCACAGGTAGGAGCGGGACAGACAAACAACTTCACCCCCAAACAACCGCCCTTGTGCCTAACCTGCGGAGGCTCCCACTCTAGGGCATCCTGCAGGTTTAGAAACGCCATCTGCCTGAACTGCCAAAAGAAGGGTCACCTCGCTAGAGTATGCCAAGCAGGGCGCTCCTTGCCTCAAAGACCTCCACCACCTTCTATTTCCCAAAGGCAAGTGGAGGACTGCTATACCTGCTACCACGCTAACCATACTTCCCAAACCCCTGATAAAATTAAAATTTCTGTTTTCCTAGAAGGTAAACCCTGCAGGATGGAGGTAGACATGGGATCTGCGCTCTCAATCATCTCCTGGGACACTCTGAAGAAGATCCAACCCAGACTGTCAAGGAAACAGCTCCAAAGATGCCACCTGACGCTGCGGGACTACCAGGGCAAGAACATTCCTGTCCTCGGGAAAGGCAAGTTCCTCGTTCAATTCCAAGCCTTTAAAGGCCATTTGCCATTAGTGGTTGTTAACGGTGCCCTCCCCAGCCTGTTGGGACTTGATTGGTTTCCTTCTCTTGGCCTTAGTGTAACTGGGATCCATGCTGTCTCAACTTCTGACGTAGATACATTATTCTCTGATTTTTCTGACGTATTTAGCAGCAAGCTGGGTTGCTATTCGGGCACCCCCATCTCATTTTCTGTAGATCCCCAGGCAATCCCTCTCCGCCTTAAGCCACGCAGGGTGCCTTTCGCCATCCATCCTAAATTGGACGCAGAATTAGACAAACTACTTAAACAAGGGGTGTTAGAACCTACTGATTTTGCCAAATGGGAGACCCCCATAGTCACCCCACTCAAGAAGGATGGCAGTTTAAGAATCTGCGCAGACTATAAAACCACGCTCAACCATTATTTACAGGTCAGCGTATACCCCGTCCCTGTTATTCAGCACCTGTTACACACATTCGAACCCGGTACCATTTTCGCCAAGTTAGATATGTCCCAGGCATACCAACAGTTCCCTGTTGATGATCAGACAGCTGAATTACAAACCATAGTCACGCATAGAGGGGCATTCAAATGTAAGCGCCTCCAATTCGGGGTCAGTGTGGCCCCGGGTATTTTCCAATCACTCATGGAACGGATTCTCCAAGGTCTCCCAGGAGTTGTTCCGTATTTCGATGACATCTTAGTCTCAGCTACTAGCCGATCTCAACTCATTCAGAGGGTCAGGACAGTGCTAGAGAAGTTTAGGCAGCATGGCCTCAAACTTAAAAGGGAGAAGTGCGCCATCGCCACTAGGCAGGTGGACTTTCTGGGTTATAGGATAGACGCCTCTGGCATCCACCCAATTGAGTCCAAGGTGAAGGCCATCCACGAGGCACTCACACCAACCAACAAGACTGAACTACAAGCCTTTCTGGGGCTTCTAAACTTTTACGCCTCATTCCTCCCGCACAAAGCATCTGTCGCTGAACCCCTACATAGACTCTTAGATAAAGACTCACCCTGGCATTGGGGACCCAAAGAAGCCCACGCTTTCAAAGCAGTCAAATCCTTACTCACATCGGAAGCGGTTTTAGTCCAGTTCGATCAACGCCTTCCTCTGGTCCTGGCTGCTGATGCATCCCCTTTTGGGATTGGGGCTGTCCTAAGCCACAGACTCCCCAACGGCTCCGAGGCACCAATTGCCTTCTTTTCTAGGACGTTCTCCACGGCAGAAAGGAACTACAGCCAAATC